AGTGCAGGTCCTTGCGAAAGTGCAACCGAGCCTGAACGTTGAGTTCTGGATGGCGCTGCGCAATATGCTGCTGGACTCCAGCCTCAGACCCGAAGTACACCCCACACACCGGGCAGGGATGCGAGGCCACCTCCGAGGCCACCACTGACACCAAAGAGGAAGAGGCAGAGCCTGTGACTTCCAGCTCCGTGAGCTCGGCCGAAACAGCAGCTGCACGCTCAAGCTCCTTTGCCTTCAGCAGCGGGCTGCGCCTGGAATCCTGCGCGATGGACTGCTGCTTGCGCGTGGCCTGATCAAGAAGAAAAGCCCTGGGCGAGAGGCCACCCCTGCGCAGAACCTCGACATTGGTGACCCCCTCTTCGTAGATGCGGAGAACCTTTCGCAGGTGGCCAGCAATAAGGGAATTCATGCCCCGCAGCACCACAGCAGTGACTCCCACAGAGCTCAACGAGTACCAGAGCGCAGGCCAAACTGTTGCACGATACACCCGCAGTCTGTGGGGCCTCGAAAAGGTGCTCTGCGACCGAAGAACACGGCGAAGCTCCTGAAAGCGCAATTGAGCGCTTGCTGCACGATGCTGGAAGTTCCGAAGCTCAAAATTCTCGTAGGAGAGAACTGATCCAAGATAGGGCATAGTGCTCTCGATCGGAATGTGAATATCGCACTGCCCCGTCCTGAGCCGAAGGTGTTGAGTTCCGCCACGCCAAACCACACAGTGCCTGCAGGCTTTTGCCACTGCACGACCACGAAGCTTCAAAACAATCAGGCTCTTGGAAAAGTTGACTTCCATACCCAACCGCTCTAGTACACCGATGTACAGCTTCAGCTCCTCAATCGCAGACGTGAAGTCCCGCTCAGAACGAAGCACCCAACACCCGTGCAGGTCATCAGCAAACATTGTGCACCGCTGCCAGGCCCCACCTCGCTTGATCTCCTGCTTCACAAGCCTCAGTAGTCGCACGGTCCAAGCAGCAAACAACACAGGAGCAATGGGACACCCTTGACGAAGTCCACGAGACATGCCAAAGCTCTGCACGACCCCTCCATGCAAGACTTTGCACCTGGTCTGCGCATGGATCTGCACCAAGATCCCGGCCAGGTTGTCGGGCACGCCAGACTCCCGCAAGGACAGATGGAGTTCCTTGTGAGAGACGCTGTCGAAGGCCTTCCGCAGGTCGAGACTGGCCATGAGACCCCCGACCAACTGAGCTCCAGAATGTCCCAGGATTTTGGACGTATGATCAACTTGGTGTTGCTCAAGCAGTGAGCGGACTGACGCACAATGAGCCGAGGCTCGCAAGAGAGCGTCTGAAGTGGAAGCTCCCGGCCTATACGCGTACTGAGGTGCTTCCTGCATTGCCTGTAGTATAGGCGGCGAGGCTGCCTCTCGCAGCACAATAAGTAGGGCTTTAGCATCTACAGGCATCAACCCAATGCTGCGCAGATTGGCTGGGGTGTGAGGGGATTTACCAGCCTTAACAAGCCACGCAAATTGCAGTGAGGCCCAATCCTCAGGAACACTCGGCGCCGAGGAGCAAAAAGCAGAGATGGCCAAAGAGCTCAGCCGAGGTGCAGCAAAGCTGGCAGCAGCTCTCCAGGTGTTGACGGCCGGCTCGCCTGCAGGGACCGCCTTGCCAGGTCGAAGCTGTTGCAAGGCACGCACCCACTTGTCCGGAGTGAACAGCTCGGGCTCCAGGGGTGCGAGAGAGGCGGATGCTAACTATGTCGCTCGCAGTGCGGGCAGTGAACAACTTCTGCGCATACTCCCCCAACACTCGTCCCTCGGGTGCATTAGATTGCCAGTGTCATCACGAAGGCGAATGGTTCTGGACGCGCCCTTGGGCGCAAGCCAACGGACACACTGATACAAGCCCCTGCTATCCCCTTTGCTAGCTGCGGCTTCTGCCAACTCCAGCGTCTCCAAAAGCTGACGCCGCTTTCTAGAGCGCGCCAGCGCCTTAAGCTCACGATGCCGCTTAGCCAGCTGAAGCACTAATCGCATACGTGCGAAGATATCCCGAAATGCAACGTTTCCAAGCCCGCGAAGCTGCTTTCGAGCCTGCCAGTACTGCACAAGCTCGCCGTCCAGGCCGACAACCCGCGGTTTGAGCTGCCGTGGCTCCGGGGGTACCTCAGTCCCTGCAACTTCGCCGCGCAATGCACCAATGCGGCTCAGCTCTGCGTGGCTCTTGCCCAGATACAAGCTACGCTGCAGCGCGCTTCTAGCATGCTTCAGTTTCCATGGCTGCCAATTCAAGAGCAAGGACACACGCAGAGGAATGTGGCCAGCTTTGCGCCACCCAGCTATTGATGTCTGCCACGGAGCGCACTGCTTTGCGACCGCATCGGCGAGGGAGTCGCGGACCAACACGAAGTCGATTTGCGAACAGCCGCTAGGGTGCACATACGTTGGGGCCTTCTTGCGCCAGGTATTTAATGCACAGAGCCTATGGGAGCGCACCAGGTCCGTCAGCATCTGGCGTTCGGCTGCCACCGCCGGCACGGAAGAGTGAGGAACGACTCCGAAGCCCACAGAACCCGAGACCGAATTGAGCCCCGAATTGAAATCGCCAGCGATGACCACCGAAGAGCGAACAGGAAGAGCACACAGAAACTTATCAAGTTTATTCCATAAAGTCTGCCGTTTCTGCAAAGCCGCCTTGACCTCCGAAGAGCCAAAAGGAAGAGCATGCTGATACAGACCAAGAATATCTATGTGCTGCTGGTTCCGAGCGTAGCAGCGAAGATGCAGTAGTCTACCAGGCGTTAGCTCTTGCCACCGAATCGTGCCAGGCTCGCAGAAGTCCGCTCGTACTCCAACCAGAATGCCACCCTGTTTGGGGTTCCGGGCTGGGCTGTGAATGAAGGTCCAGTCACCATCTTGCCATTCGTTCTGATAGCTGTGATGCGTTTCCTGCAGAATGAGAATCTTTATAGCGGGGTGCCTGGCCAGAAGGCACTTGACCTCATGCAGCAGCAGCTGAGAAAGACCACCACAATTCCACGACAGCACCCCAAAGCGCGCTCGCCCTGTGTTGTCAGCGGAGGGATGCAGTATCGGTAGGGTGGGCCGTGCAGGCAATAGTAAGCGACCTTTGTACATGGTCCCGCCATGGCGCTCCGCTCGACGAAGCGCGCGGCGAAGAGATCTTTTCTTAAGCTTGTCGGCGCGTATAGCGTCTGTGGTGAAACCGCCAGCTTGTACTTCCCCCTGCTTTGCTGCCCCAGGGACAGCTTCCAGTGGACCCGGGGGGGTACCACCAACCCTCACGCCAGGGAGCTCCTTCGAGCCATTCTTGTGATCAGCAATAGCCCCCGCCCGGACTTGGGACCGGGCTGAGCCGCCGCCTCCCTTCAATTTCAAACAAGACAACCCATTGCACCAGCTGTGTGACGCAAAAGAGTCTGGAAGATGGGAGACGTCAATGTATCGGGGAGAGGTAGAGAGCCCATGCCATGTCTGCTGCTGCATATGGTTGATCCTGAAGAATGGTAGTTACCGCCCCTGCAAGCTCGGCGGGGTAGTTTCTCGCAGCAAAAAGCAGGAACCTCTCAAACGACTGTCGCGGAAACAGAAAAGCAGCTTCAATCAATAATATGCTGAGAGTGCAATCTGCCCAAAGAAGCGATAGAAAATCAGCAGCCCAGCCTGACTCGCTGTCAGAAAGAGTCTGAAGAATAGAATCAGCTTCGTCCAACAGCCACGCTCGCAGGTGAGCAACGCAGGCGCCCACCATCAGCCCTCTTCCCCCCTACTGCTCGAACCGCTCATGGCGCTTTACTACTACTACTACTACTACTACTACTACTACTGCTACTACTACTACTACTACTACTACTACTACCACTACACTACCACT